TATAGAGGAAAGGTATTTAAGGTCTTTTATACCTCTCCCATTGCACTCAGAGTGCCAGACTGGGGAACAGCCCTGATAGCATCAAAAGTACATAAAGAAATATATGTCTTACCTAATCTACACAATCTCAGCCAAGGGAACAAGGAAACAATAGAGACAGGTCAGAAACTGGCAACAGGAGTACTAGTTCATTGCTTCCTCTACCCTATAACAGAACAATTTTCAGTCACTTGGAATATAATCGTTTATTTATCTTTACAGTGATGATGGAAGAATGTACAGGTGTTTTCACTCAATAGAAGTATAAAAAAATCTGTTTATATACATTGAGTCACAATAATCTTTAATTCTCCTGATCCATCATTATTATAAACCACAGGAAAAACAAATATTAAGTATAGGCAATATAATTCCAGTAGGTTTGCAACCTGGGGTCAAAAGCTCAGCTTTAGTTTAAAGGTACTGTTTGATATTAAAAAAAACAACTATTTTAAGTCATAGGACACAAAATAAAGTTTGTTTATCAAATAAGATATATACATCAAAAATAGGAGTCTAAAAAGGCATTGGTTTTAATGCTATTAGAAAGCTATATAAATGTGCATGGGTCCATTTCTTCTTACAATGAAAGACCGAAGGAGAAAGTGCCTCTGTTTTGTTTGGAAATTCTTCCTGGGACAAGTCAGTTAAAGTACCTGTAAGTTAGAGAGAAGAGTAAATAAATCAAAAGCAAAATGATTTCTCTAGAGAAATGATAGGTTGATCATAATTTGAATCAGAATACATTTCTTGAAATCTATAGCTGTGTTTCAGTCACATTTCACATTAAGGCCACAGTTATAAATAGTTGACAAAAGGCTAATAAATAATTGATGTTTTAATAAATGGTTAATCAACCAATGTTATAATGCAATGAGTCAATAAGTTACTTATAGCTATCTATCAACACTTAAAACTGATGTGCTTATAACCATCTCTATCTGTACTCACATACTGAGCATGTTTATCACATCTAACTCTTTATAAATTATTTATGTATATACCCTTATAGGTGACCTGTGTTTCTACAGTATTTACATTGTTCTTTTACCTAAATTTTCATTTTTTGATAAATAGCTTCCATTTATTTATTTATATATAACAAAATATATAGAAGTTCATCTCAATAGCAGATTTTCTTTCAGTTTAAAGTTTGCAAACAACCATATACACAAACTGACCATTTATTCAAAAATCCTACTTAAGTCTGAAGTTAAAATGGACATTGGAAGATGAAAACAGAATGACTGTGTTGACAATGTATATATAACAAATCCATTTTAATGGAACTACAGAAAGGTCTGTTAAGATTAAGGAGCCTAAGTCAAATTCCTGCAAAGCTACCCAAAGAAAATAAGGATAATCACTATAACACACAACAGGTCTATATTATAATCTAATTAATATCCATTTCAAAATAATTATTTGTTAGACAATAAACACTTAATACTACTGACATACTTGTTTTTTACTCCATCAGGAGACTCATTAGTCCATTATGCAGACCAACTACTATGGGAAGTTATATGACCCCTCACACAATCCAAATCAAATTAATATATGTAGCACCAATAACGTGCTAGCTGTTTAAAATGTTGTAAGTAAACAATGTAAGAGTACATAATACTGTTAAAACCTAGCATGTAAAGCAATAAATTAAACTATTTTTGGAGATAAGAGGGAGTCCTTCTTTGGAAAAGTAAAACAAACTCTATTTTGGTATATCGCCTAGAAGAACAATATTTAGGATACATATACTCTGCACTGTAGGTAGAATAAGATATGCAATTTGAGCTATGCAAATCGCGTATCTTATTTTGATGTTATTTCAAAATAGAGTATTTCAAATTTTGGTGCTGTCTACAAAGCACTTATTTTGAAATAAAGTGCTATGCTGAAATGTCCCTTACTCCTCATGGAATGAGATTTACAGGGACGTAGGAATAGTGAGCCTGTTACATTTCAAAATAGTGGGCATGCTCAAAAGACGCAGAATTTCAGAAGTATCCAGAAATAGTGCTACAGTGTAGATGTAGCCTTAGATAGAAGGCAGTTAAGAACAGAAACTTTGTTTCTACAGTACTGTTAAGTAGACCAGGTATAACTTTCCTTCAATAGAGGGCTGCATGTGTACATTATAGATACAGCGCACAGTCTGGTAGGACTGCTCTAACTGAACTTGTTGACAAGCTGAAAGCAGAGGGATGGAGGGGAATATATAGAGACTAAAGAAAGAAAAGTCACTCTGGTTTTGTCTGCCTTCATTTAAACACTTCTGGCTGCCCCGTGTCAGCTAACTTGGGCTTGGGCTGTTTATTTGACGTGGTGATGTTCAGGACTGGGCTACAGCCCAGGTTCTGGGACCCTTGGAGCTCCAGTCCAAGTCTAAACCCAAACATCTACACTGCAATTAAACAGGCCAACTCAGCAGACATGGGCCAGCCACAGGTATTTACCTGAAGTATAGACATACATAGTGAAAGCTACAGATTTATTTTAGGCCACATACTTTGTGGGGATAAAGTAAAATTTCTCTTATACTGGAAATGGAAAAGCTAGTTCTCAAAATAGGTATAAAAAGAGAGGACATAAATCCTGCCTGTAGGCTCTTGAAAAGGGGAGGAGCACAGCCTCTGACCTCCCTTCCGCAATGTACAGCCTCTAATGAAAGCAGAAGAAAAGGCTCCACAGTCAGCATAGTATCTTAGGCAATGAGGAGTACAGTTAATTCGAAGTATAGGGTTTTCCCTCAGAGTACCGCGTCTACACACGGCAAGTTAATTCGGGCTAGTCAGTTTCCAATATGGTGACCGGATGCGACTATGCTAATCAAGCGCAGGATATTTAAATCCCACACTTGATTTGCAACTTCGGTTGCCTTAATTTGCCTCCCTACTTCGAAGTAGGGGGCAAGTGTAGACCTACCCTTAGTCCTTACACAAATATTTATAAACATTGTTAGAAGTGATTTGAGAGGAACTAAGCAAAGGAGGAAAAGTATGATGATACTAGTTAATTTAGATTGAACAAAAATAATTTGACACCTAGCCCATCTTTCCTCTTATCCCTTCCACAAAATCAAAATTATAGCTTTATATATTTTAGAAAAGTCAGTAACTTCACTTAGTGCAAAGTATTGAATTCATTCTTGTGCAACAATGAATGGTTCATTGGGCTTAGAACAACCTTTTTGCACTAACTAGGATGACTTTTACTTAAGTACTTCATTAATGTGTTTCTATTATTTAGATTAAAAAAAAAAAACCCTGAAAGTCTGAGAACCTTTAATATGAAACCATTTTTAACTGGCTTCACTGGAAGTACTGAATGTTCAGGAGAACAATGTGATTGATAAATGGTAACTAAATAAAAAATGCACAAATACAAAAGGGGAATAACTGGTTATACAGTAATACTGCAAAAAAGAATCCCAGGGTTATAGTTGATCACAAATTGAATGTCAGCCAACAGTGCAGTGCAGTGAAGTCACCAACATGGCTAATCTCTCTGGGACATATGTAAAATTTGGGAAGTAAATGTTCATTCTGCTTCACAATGTGGAGATTTCAGAGGGTATGTCTAAACTACAGGACCAGGTTGAATTAAGATATGCAATTTCAGCTACATTTAATTGCATTAAGTTAAGTACATTAACTCGACTTCTGGCGCTTTCCACACTGCAGAGTGCTGAAGGGAGAGTGTTTTCCCTTTGACTACCAGCATCAACCGGAGTGCCCCTCTCAGTTCCAATTAGCTATCTTAACTAGACACACAAATTCAAACCCTGGAAGATCGACAACGGCAGTTTCAATCTTCCCTGTAGTGTAGATGTACCCAGAAAGAATATTGTGTCCAGTTTTGGGTGCTACCCTTGAAGAAAAATGAACAAATAGGAGAGTTCTGAGGAGAGCAACAAAAGTGAAAACAAGTCAAGAAAACCTGACCTATGAGGAATCGTTAAAAAAATGGACATGTTTAGTCTTGAGAAGGGATGACTGAGATGGGACTTGATTGCTTCTTCTTCCTTTATCCCATTGTGGGATTATATCTTTTTTAGCATGGAGACATCTCATCTCAAAATGCCTTTTGGTATTGAACCTGCAGTCTTTTTACTACCATGGTTCTGCATCACAGAGCATCGTGGGGGCACATTATTGTTTGTACTGTTACACTTTCAGTTTCAGTGGAATATGCTTCTCATACAAAATACCTGAGATGTTATTCCCCACTCCTCCAGCACTCCCCAGGCAGCACTGTATCTCAACATTCAAGCTTGCTGTCTTCCATAACCCAGCTACCATGGTACTTTAACTGGTCTGTCTGGGTTAATTGTCCTCCATTAATATTTACATCCACTTTCCCTGTACCACTTCTATTGACCTATATGATATCAATCTTAATTGTGTTCCTTTTCATAACTATGTCTACCTCGTTTGGTCAAATTACTGGTTTACTATTTCCTTTTGGCTTTCTATTTCTTTTAGGGAGGCTTGATTACAATCTTCAAATATGTGTAATCCTTATGATAATGGATGGTGATCAATTATTCTCCATGTCTACTGAATTCAGGATAAGAAGATAACTGACAATCTGCAACAAGAGAGACTTAGAAAGTGTTTGCTAACATCTAACCTAACTATAAGGAATTTAAGATCTGGGACCGGTTACCAAGAAAGGTTATGTAATACCTGTCATCTGAGGGACAAACATCTGCCAGAAAGGATCTAGATATAATTGGTCCTGCGTCAGCACAGGAGGATGGACTAGATAAACTTGGAAGGCACCTCTAGCCCCAAATTTCTCTTATTCTTTAAATTATATACCAGTGATGAATGAAAGAATTTAGATTGTTCTTGTCCTGTGCCACGGGAAGTTCTTTTAGAAAAAACACCAAATATATTTTTATAAAAAAGATAAAAATAGAACTAGATGAAATGTAAGCCCTTAATAGTTCTGCAAATTCTGTACAACAGATAATAGCCAGGGACAAATGAAATCCAAGGATGAGAAAATTATGAATTCAAGCACTTTTCACAAATAAAATAGAGAAATCATTAATTTTTGTAGAATGTTCATAAATAAGTTGAAGTCTTGGAAATTAATGTTGCAGAATCTGATCACTATTTTGCATCAGTACCCACTTTGTATTTGCATATAACTAAGGGTTTTCAGGAATGGGCCCTTAGCCTTTGGGCCAAGGAGTATGTTTTACTCTGCTGTTGCACCAGTGACATAGACAGCATGTGTCTCATATTCTGTGCTTCCATACTTATGCAGAGATTGCAATTTAGTGATTTGTCAGCCACAATGTATGCTCCTTGACACCTGTATGGAACAAAATAGGGCTCAGCTTTTGAGTGATTTGCAAGTGCCCACTGGGTGACTCAGTGACAGTATTAAGATGAACAGCAGTTAAAAACATTACTGCTAATAACTACAAAGTTTTGCTATCTCACAGAAGGACCACCTGGAGTTCTGGCTTTACCTGATTCCTTTTTTATGTTTCATCTCCATTGTCCATTTCCACATCCGTTTCTTTTGTTGTATCAGCAGCCCGCGACAAGATGTCTGCCATAAGTGCTTCCTCCAGTTTTTTACGTACCTGTTGCACCCGCTCTTCTTGTTTTCTGTTTCAAAAACAGAGCAACGAACATTTGAAATAATCCTCTGTGTATATTAACATAGGACAAAAACATTTATTTAAGCATTCACGCATAAGAAAGGGTTTGCAAGACTTGGTTTTAAGTCTCAACAGAAACATTTTAAATCCTACTACAAAACAGACTTTCACAGCATTAGGAAAAGGATTTTCTGGATATTTTTTTCTTTTGTGTACTGTAAAAATTTGGTTACCAATTTAGCTCTCACAAAGCCATCATTCAAAGATATAATTGCATAAGTTCTCAGGGTTCACCAGTTGTGGCCCAATAGTGCAAGACCAACTGTATCACAATATAGAATAACTGAAAAAAGAACTAAAAACGTTCTGCCCGACTAAATTATTTTTTCTGATGTTTTACCAGTATTCTTAAATTCTTTCACAGCAAGTGTAAGATTGCTTTTCAAGTACTTGTTTCTAAAGTAGATTTTAAAAGCAATTCAGAAGTCATGTTTTCTGAGATGACAGTTCAAACTTAGTCCACACATGTGAACTCTACTTTGGAGAGATATAATTTTATGGGAAAATTCCTCTAGTGTCTGTCACTCTACACCTGAGAACCTTTTTAAATTGGCACTAGTTTACTAAAACCCATAAATAATTATCTCTGAAAAGGTGTCCATACAGATTATCTGCAGAGTTTTACACAGTGATACAGATAAGCTCTTCTGTACCTACTGTAGATGCCTTCACAGGCATTCATCAAAAGAGAAAGGCTTAAAAGTGAGGTGAATGCTTTACTTGAGAAGAAAAAAAATGGTGACTTTCATTTTTCAAAATTGCACTGAAAACCCAGAAACAAACTCCCTAATTTGACAAGAGGTGTTTATCTGCACAAATATCTCTCTTTGGACAACCAAAACTTATGTGAATTCTTCAGGCACAATGGAGCAAATGACAGAGCAATTCCTTCATCAATTCACCTGAGATGTGAATACGTACCTAAAGTGTCGCAAGCAGAAATCATGGAATTGGTGAAGCTAGATGCTTGTCTATGGACACTGACCCACCAACTGGTGCCCAAGATCAGTTGCTCTATATATTTTGTTTATTTTGCAAGGCCTATTTGGTGAAGACAGATCTGACTTAGAACTAAAAGCTGTCCTCACTGATCCAATTTACCTAGAGTATATGTATTACAGCATCATTGCACAAACTATTGCAAGTGCTTGAATAACTTCAGGGTGGATTTGATGGTATCAGTGAATTTATCCCCAGTAACACATCCTACAATCAACTGCTTTTGGGATTAATGCCTAGCCTGTAATGCTCAAATATTAGCCTATGCTAGTGACATTTGGAGGCCCAATTTACTAGATGCTCACAAACTAATAGCAACAGACAAAAAGGTTTTAAAAACATTTATCAGAAAACTGTTTTCAAAAGCAATGCGCAAAATCGTAGTCTAGGCCAGCGTTTCCCAAACTATGGGAAAAAAATACCAGGCCTCAGTGTGGCTGCTGGGAGGGGAGCAGAGTGGGGTGGGCTGGGAGAAGGTGTGGGGTGCGGGGGGAACCGGCCACCGGGAAGCAGGGTTGGGGGCAGTGGGGCTGTCCTGCGGAGATCTGGGCTGGCGGGCAGCAGAACCAGGGCTGGACGAGGTGTGGGGGGTGGCTAGGGGAGGTTGGGAGGAGGAGGACTGGAGAACCACCCTCCGGAATCAGAGCTGGACTGGGGCAGCAGGCTGGATGGATGGGTCACCAGAGTGGGGGAGAGGGGGGCACTGGACGGGGAGATCAGGAGGAGGAGGATGGGAGAACCAGCTGCCAGAAGCAGGGCTGGACAGGGGG